TGTATTAGTTTATGTGACACCATTTTCTATTTTTCTTTGCCTGCCTGCCTGCTGGCGGCCTTTTTTCGCATGGTTCGGTGCAAGCGAATTTGGGCGAGCCCATTGACGCGGGAGCACAAATAATAATAATAATAATAATACATACATGTAATCTGTTGCCCGGCGGTAAGCTGCTGCTATCCCTCCCCCCCCTCCCCCTCCCCCCCCCCCCTCCTCCCCCCTCCCCGCCGTGACTGTGTATCCAGCACATGTAGTGTGCATTTTGCGCGTACATCATACATGCACATTTATTATTATGTCTATGAAACCGTAGACAGGTGTAAGATCCTCAGGCTGTGTATTGTGCTTTAGCATTTTTATGTCCATTGAATAGAGCCAGAAATACAGCAGTGGTGCTACGAAATCCTTCTTTGTCGTTACTCGGGGTTTCGTGTCTGAAAACATACAGTCATGTTACTCATGCCATGTACTACATTGTACATGTGCATGTACACAACGTGTCTGGGGTCCTTGCTGCTGCAAATACAAAATGTAGTGCTCAACGCCTCAAAATGGGCAGAGCGTACTACACAAAGGCAGAACAACAGGGACCAAGAATGTACAATCATGTACATGTACAAAAGGCTATGGCTGGACTTCATTGACAAGTGTAGATCGGTGTAAATAAATGGCGTGTACTTGTCATGTGCTAGAACCTGTATAATTATGGTTTTTTTCGTATGCTATTCTTCCTGCAGCAATCTATTTCATGATGAAACAGTTGACAGATGCGTGGAACCCATTATTTGGGAGACATGCGACCTGTGTTATTATTACATGTACCTGTACATGTGCTAGTCTTGTGTAAACCCTCCTTCTAGTCTGTCTCATTTTGCCCCGACATGTTTTGATGCATAGGATTATGACGCTCATCATTCGCTTCCTTGTCACTGGACAGTTCTGTCCGTTTGGTTTCAGCGAATTCAAATAAAGAAAACAACAACAACAACAACAACAACAACAACAACAACAACAACAACAACAACAACAACAACAACAACAACAACAACAACAACAACAACAACAACAACAACAACAACAACAACAACAACAACAACAACAACAACAACAACAACAACAACAACAACAACAACAACAACAACAACAACAACAACAACAACAACAACAACAACAACAACAACAACAACAACAACAACAACAACAACAACAACAACAACAACAACAACAACAACAACAACAACAACAACAACAACAACAACAACAACAACAACAACAACAACAGTACTCAGCTAGTTTGTCGCTACGCCTACGTACATGTACTCTGAGTGTCATGCTTATGCAATCATCGGACACCATACATGTAGCATGAGGATACTACTGGCCATGCCGGTCTTTACGTGTATGCCAGAATCTATGAAAATACACTATCCATGAAAACGTACTATATACTTATGTCATATACATGTTTAATAATAGCTATGAAAAGTATGAATGCCGCAGACATCAGCACGCAACATGACAATTTGTTCAAGGTTTGGTTTTGTGTGTTTCCAAAATCGATTTTCAAGCTCCGATCATCAGTGGAAATACGGAACTAACGTGATCAAGGGAAAAAAAGAAAAAAAAAGTAAATTATCGTATCCGTTCCCGAAGGGAACTCACGACGGCCGCTAACACCCGATAAACCCTAGCGGCAGATGCAGCGCCTAACGGTGGGGGTGAGTGGGCAAGTCTCACAACCACTGGCACAAGTGCCGAAAACGACCCCATTAGCTGCATCCATGTACCCCTTGTGCCTGGCCACAAGTGAAAAACAAAGGTTAAAAATCCAAAGAAGTGTGACATAGGACGCGTACGTATTACAAAAAGTGAGAACTAAGATAAAGAGTAAGTGTGACAAATGGGCATGAACAGTGCAGAAACAACTCATGAACACGGGGTGCAAACTCACGAAAATAACCTAAGTGCTACAACATGTTCTTTTTTGCTTACACAAATCGGGCTTATGCGTACGAATACAAACAGCTTCAAGGACCTTCAACTGCTGGACATAATGGGCACGACACAGTACAGAGAACTTTTTGTAATACTTACGCGTCATATGTCACACTTCTTTGGATTTTTAACCTTTGCTTTTCCCTTGATCACGTTAGTTCCGTATTTCCACTGATGATCGGAGCTTGAAAATCGATTTTGGAAACACACAAAACCAAACCTTGAACAAATTGTCATGTTGCGTGCTGATGTCTGCGGCATTTATACTTTTCATAGCTATTATTAAACTTTTATCTCCACGTAGATTATTCATATACTGTTATACATGTACACGTACATGTACTTCAGTACAATGTACTGAAGTCATAGCGAAGGAGATATACCAGCTTTATGCAGGTTAATGCCAACGCGAACAAGCAAAATAATAATACTTCAGTACACGGGCAATTGCCAATTATTCCCAAAATTACTCCTTTGTACTTCAGTACATGAAGAGTGTGTTGCTCCCTTGAAAGAATTGTTGTCATATTGACCTCAAAATTGGTGAGATTATTATTTTTTACTAAGGCTACAGCTTCCAATCATGACATGCAAAGCAGCGGTGCAGCATCGCAGGCATGAATCGTGGACGTGGTGACGGTGTCTGATGTGCTCCACCGACCTAGGGTCTCGGCTTCACTGCACAGCAAACGCGTCGAAAGAAAACGGGGGGCTAATAATTATCGGGAGATGGAGGGGGGAGAACAAGGAGAGAGAGAGAGAGGGAGAGAGAGAGAAAGAGAGAGAGAGAGAGAGAGAGAGAGAGAGAGAGAGAGAGAGAGAGAGAAAGAGAGAGAGGGGGAGAGAGAGAGAGAGAGAGAGAGAGAGAGAGAGAGAGAGAGAGATCGCGTGCACAAAGTGTTCATGCCCAAAGCCTCCAACCGAAAAACATGTTGCGGTCGGTTGAAAAATGAAGGTCGGTACATTTAAGGGTGACCCGAAAACAACGAAAAAAATGCTGGGTAGCCTACATGTTATTTGTATAACCTAGGTACCGGCGGATTATGCCCGCGAAATCATGGAATTATGTTTTCATGGATTCTCGCATTATGCTCGCAAAATCCTCATATTATGCTTTGGCACGCGGGGATACATATTCATTTTGTTGTGCTTATGGAGCCTCAAATTTCGGAAATTGTGCCTTTTTCGTACTTGCAAGTGGCCATGAGTACAACAAATACATGAGTATCCCCTTACCAAGGTGTCCATGCATGCTAGAGATCAACATGGAAAAGAGAAAACATTACTTCTTCTATTCATTAGTTGACTTCTTTTGTTGTGAAAGGTTTTCCTTACCTTTGAAAACTGTCATGTTCAGCTGTCTTTGTAATCGTCATACTCGTCCAACCGATGTCACCCTAACCCTGCGAATTCTCATAATCAGCTCATCTCTCCCGTAGCTCCAGCTCTCCTTCCATCATTACCGAACATCAACTATACCTCAATTTTTTTTATTATTATTAGAGCAATACCCATAACCTGCACAGTCATAGCTGCTAAGATCCAGACGTCATGACTTCGTAACAAGCATAGTACGACTCGTAGTATGTACGCGGAGTTTTGCGGACCACCCATCACACTATCCCGTCCGCCCCGGGATACCTGCTAAAGGCTGATTCACTCGCATCTTCTGCTACATGTACTGTATCAGGTGAGAAAGAACTTTGAGAAGACGAGTTCGAGCACACAACAATTTAATGTATTTCCATGATTTCTACCCTGCTTTTCATTGAAAACACTATCTGCATGACCTCCGAACCCTTTACCATGCAGACCACCAGCACTGATCAGGTGCATTGTACACAATTATTGTGTAGCCTACATACTAGAACTGTGATACAATCATGCAGTTATGCTCCTACCTCCGAAAGGATGCCAAATAATTATGCTCCAAATTTTCAACCACCAAATTATGCCAATAATTATGGTCGGCACAATCCGCCGGTGCCTAGTGTAACCCCCTTTGTATTTTGCCGTCGAAGATTCAGCTATTGTTTGGTAGCTATGTGCAGCAGTTGACTCGAGATCAATAACTATGCTGAACGGTCGACCGCCACCTACATATACAGGTAGCACGGTGCCGGTAGTACTAATACTAGAGATGGCCTTGCTAAGTAAACAACAACAGATTGTGCCAATTAATATTGTGGTTCTTTCGGAATCCACGCCTAAAAAAACAAACCGCCGGAAATGCAAGAGCCGGATCCATACCATGGCACTTGATATGCTGTAAATGAGCGCGATCTGCATGATCGTACAGTCCTAGATCCTGCTCAATGAAATCCAGTCCCGGCACTCATATCACGTAACTTTTACTAGTCTTTGCGCCGTGCACCATTTCGAATCCCAGTGCAGCAGTGTTCGCAGGTCTAGGGCCGGCTGCGCAACGCCCGGCGCGTACATGACTCATGATATGAGCGCATGGACCGGATTTCATTCAGCTGCACTAGCAATACTACATGACTGTTCAGTCATGTACACGAAGGATCTAGCCTTCTAGGTCTAGGAGTCACCATTCTTTCGATAACTACCGGTACTTTATACCTGGCAGACTAATAATAATACTTAATAGTATTACAGAACGTGATCTGATGATGGTGTCGATCGCCTCGGGGTGTCATGAAAGCTTTCATGACTCTCTGGTCTACCATGGTACATGGTGTACATCTAGACGCCTCGAGGGATAACAACCATGACAACAGTGTCGACTGTACTGCACTGGCGCACGGCGTGAAAGCGGACGTCCGGACACTTCGCTTGAAATAATATCATACCAGAAGCTAGCTTGTTAGTATGCGTCACGCTCTACGCGATCAAGCGGAAAAAATTATCATCCCGCGATCCGCAGCACGACGAAACTAATGAGGAATGTTAGATAACACGATTTGGAAATTTGTGTCTGGAATCCAGACAACCGAGTTATGTTACTGCCGTCCTTGATTATGCGTACGCCTACTATACGGTACTCAATCATGCAGTAAATAATTGATTACAAGAAAGCGTCTTCCCAGCTGATCGCTTGCAGTTGCAGAAGGAAGAAACGTTCAACCGTCCTCCGCTCGGAGGTCCCGAAGACGTTTTTGTGTTTCTCTTCATTGTTACGAGGTGGGTGGTGGAGTGAGTTTGCATTGCATCTGAATTTTTGTGTAGACGCGATGTTAGATTACCGGCTGACACTGACAGTGGCAGGCTGCATCGCTGTGTTTTGTTCGAGCATCGCCTTGGGTAGCGTTGAACAGTGCGGAGAGGAGGAAATACACGGAACTCATCTACATACGTGCGAGAAATGGTTTTTCGTTCAAGTGGTCGGTGACCCGCAAGCGGATGAATCTTCCACAAAGCTGCCATGTGGAGAGGATGAGTTAGAGCCGTGTCCAACTTTGTTTGCTGCCCTCCATTCTGCCACTAAGTGGAAAAGGGCAACTGCTGACAATGACTGTCTCACTCACGCCTGGATCACAATTCTGCTGAAGGGAGATGTGAATTGCTCGGTACCTCTTCATGTACGCGTACTTGAAAAGGCGGAGCGTGCCTTTAAATTTAATATCAGTCGCGTTACTATCAGACCTGCGAACCGCACATTATGTCCCACAATTCGACTTACTACAGCATCCTCAAAGCCAGTGCCCCTGAAGTTTTCGAAAGCATCAGCAGTGCGCCTCAGTGGCCTTGAGTTTGTCTCAACGATCGTTTATCTTGTCATTCAAAAGGCTCGTCTGTTCCACGTTGACCGATGTAAGTTCTCCATCAAAGCAGAGTCCATGAATATGCTTAAGCATGTGACGTCTGTGACTTTCTCGTCCGATGTGTTCTTCACACATTGTGTGTTTGAGTTGATGGCCGGAGAGGCTCGACCAGTCATACCTGACGGTGCAAGTATTGTCAATTCCTGGATCAAGCCTGTGTTCAATGCAGTCATCTCGTCTACCACAACCGCTGGCATTATTTCTGACACGGACACATTCCGACAGTGGGCAGCTGGTGAGCCGGTAATTTGCCGGGCGTATGCCAAGGAAAAAGCCCACTCCGTGTGCGGAGCAGAGTCCAGCGAGAACTGCGCAGACAGCGGCAGCAGTGGCAGCAGTCGGTGGAATATGGCACTCGTAGTGTACGACTGCACCTTCCGCAACCTGGGCCGGCGCTTTGTCATGGATCGGCCGTATTTGGTGTCAACAGACCGCACCAAGGGGAGTGCGCTGACGATCTTCTTTGACTGTGAGGCAAGACATCGCACAGTTATCATCGATCAGTGTTTATTTGTGAACAACATGCACCCGCGGGACTCGCCTCTTATGCTCCAGTTCAACACGCATCATATACAGAACAATCCGCATTGCCGGAATGGATCTATAACCATGAACAACATGGTCTATGTTACAAACTCGGAGTTCCGAAATAACTCGGCCCTTTTGGGCGGTGCTGTATCCGTGATCATACTCGACCACTCCTATTTCAACAACGTGAAGTTTGAAAACAACACATTTGCTGACAACAAGGCCCGACAGCAGGGTGGTGCCGTTGCGGTCTACTTTGCCATTGTTACCGTTACAACGAACTGCTTCTGGGCAAGCAACAACAACACGTTCCTGAGGAATTCGGTCCTGTTTCCTGTAAACCCAGGTTCCGCTGTGTACGTGTATGCAGCCAGCGAGTCAATTACCTTCAACTACCAAACTTACTTCAGGGAGCAACAAGGTCTGAACACTAGTGAGGCCGATGGCTACTTGCGGCGCTGCCATAAAGAAACATCAGTCCTCATGGAGGACACCACTTTCACTGGCAATCTTGGCAATGGAGCATTTTTTGCTCGCAATGTAGATGCAATATTCCGCGGCAAAAGGTCAGGGCACTTTAGCTCACAGACACACTGCTAAAGACTATTTTTTTAAGTAAAAATTAGGAGAGATCTAGCCATGCATGTTTGTGGACAGAATTTTGCATCACGTAGGTTCTTGCTGCTCGGGGCTCTTGAATACAACATTCAGTATAAAATACCCATGTCTTCCCATAATACCACAAAGCAATCGTGAGACTCCGTTGCCAGGCCATAGCCGCTGGTTTTGAGCAACCCCAAATACCTTTCATCATCCCAGTATTCGAGTATACATTTGACCCCTGATATAACGAACACCATAATTGCAGGAGAATTAGTTCCTCGTAGCCAACTTCATATGTTCAACTGCCAGATGTGCAGCATTGATTCGTAGGCAATGATGCGTCAGTACCAGCAGAGACTAGAGCAAAACATGATTTGAGGTGTTGTTTTCCCGTCTATATCTTCCTTGTAGTGTGGTATCATCTAGCACCGGCACTGGTATAGTTGTGTCATGTGCTACACTGAAGTTCAGAGGAGGCCCAGTGAACATTGTAAACAACACAGGGAAGTTGGCAGGTGCATTCAAGGCAACTGAGTTTGCCCGTATCCTGTTTCAAGTGGAAGTAAGTGCTAGATTCTCCTGTTGCAAGCCGCGTCCCTATTTGTTTGGCAAAGAATACTGATCAACTTCAACAGGCTTATTGAAGGCGCACTATCCTCAGACTTTTCTGCGGCATTTTTAAAAGTAAGAAAATGAGTATTTTATACTCCGTTATGGTGTACACGAACAGCGGAAGATATATGCTACATACCAACAGCCCAATAAACTGTCTATGTTCAGTTTTGCAGTCAACTCACCTACACCTTGGTCTGCAGTGCCTAGTTCACGAAAAATCCAGTACTATGTCAATGTTTCGGGCTTCATGGCCATCGTCAAGAGATGCGAGCTCGCGTCTTGATTGGCATTCAACTGGCATTCAACTGTTAATCGATTTCATTTCTATGTCTCTTCTTCAGATGTCTCAAGTCACGATTGTGAACAATACAGCCGAAGATGGTGGCGCTGGTTTGTTGACTGCTGACCCAACATCTGGCAGTCCATCCTTCGACGAATCTCTGTACTACACTGGCAACACAGTGGATAACACCCACAGATGCCCAATGGAGTTCGAGGACAAGCTCACACTGCAGCAGGCAAAGGTAGAGGTGGCTGTGTAATTCCAATTCTAGCTTGACGCTGCTCCTGATCTTGAAGGACTTATCGTGACTTTATAGTGACATCATGGCAGGACTACATGTATAGCGATATCATGGCAACATCATGATGTTGATATTACAGGATCTAGAAACGAAATAGGTGGAAACCCTAGAGAAGTTACCTACATGTATGGGTACTTTCGTGGCTACAACGCCGCTCAATTGTAATGCAATCCGATCATGAGTCTAGTTTGTAATGCAATGCGATCATGGGAGTCTAGTTTGTAATGCAATCCGATCATGGGAGTCTAGTTTGCAATGCAATCCGATCATGGGAGTCTAGTTTGCAATGCAATCCAATCATGGGAGTCTAGTTTGCAATGCAATCCGATCATGGGAGTCTAGTTTGTAATGCAATCCGATTATGGGAGTCTAGTTTGCAATGCAATCCGATCATGGGAGTCTAGTTTGCAATGCAATCCGATCATGGGAGTCTAGTTTGTAATGCAATGCGATCATGGGAGTCTAGTTTGTAATGCAATCCGATCATGAGAGTCTAGTTTGCAATGCAATCCGATCATGGGAGTCTAGTTTGCAATGCAATCCGATCATGGGAGTCTAGTTTGTAATGCAATGCGATCATGGGAGTCTAGTTTGCAATGCAATGCGCCATTTCACAGCCCAGTGTTGACAGGTCGAGGGCTGCATAGTTCCTGGCGCACCCTTGACTTGCTCGATCGGATTTCATTGAGCCACACTGTATGTCGCAGCACGAAGAAGATGGACGTTCAAACCCTAACCGTGATAAATCGGGATCAGCTGCATCGCATGCTGATATATTCTGTAAACCTAACAAAGCATCTGGAAAAGAAGTAATTGAATACTGGTCACTTCCTAAAATGGCTGAAATCAGTTTCAGCAAAGAGGAAATGGAGAGGTAAGCAATGGCCTCGGCATCACAAGGTTACAAGTGCTCTCAACCTCTGGCCTTGTGCCATGCTCAAAGTTGTTTGTTGTTGTTGTTGTTGTTGTTGTTGTTGTTGTTGTTGTTGTTGTTGTTGTTGTTGTTTGAATTTGAATTCTTTATTCTCACGATGGCACCATCGCCAATAAGAGATTGTTGTTGTTGTTGTTGTTGTTGTTGTTGTTGTTGTTGTTGTTGTTGCTGTTGCTGTTGCTGTTGCTGTTGCTGTTGCTGTTGCTGTTGCTGTTGCTGTTGCTGTTGCTGTTGCTGTTGCTGTTGCTGTTGTTGTTGTTGTTGTTGTTGTTGTTGTTGTTGTTGTTGTTGTTACTTTATTTTACTTCACCAGAATTACAGGTACATGTAGTAACGGTTAGAATGCCTTCTCACTAGACCAGGTCTAGTTCTAACAAATGCTGAAGACAGAAGCTAATGAAAAACAAGAAATAGGAAAAGATGACAAAAACCTGTGTTTTATATTTTATGACGGTATTTTGTATGTGAGTGACAGTGATTACATGACAAGAGAAAGAAAAGAAAAAGAAAGAAAGGAAAGAGTAAGGAATAAACGAAGTAGATGTATGAAATAGACTAGAGAAGTTGAGGTATTTGAGGAGAAAAGTCAGTTTGTCGATTCCGGTGGACAGTTACTTCCTGTGCTGTCCATGTGTGGTACGTGTACTTAAGTTTTTAAATTACACTGGCGTCTAGATCCATATATTCCTGATGATAGCGCAAGCGTGAAACTTGGAGTTCCTTCAAATTTTCTTCCACCTTTCTTGCAAGGAAGCTCTGCCCTTTCGGCCATTGAGCACTTTGTGTGCAGATAGGACTTAGCCTACTGGGACGTCTTAATCTTCAGGCTGCATGTACATGTGGTGATCTATGTCCAGTGGACTGAGCCAAAAAAGAAAACTCTAACACAGCAATGATACAACCAAGTCCACTGGGTGTTCTCTGATGAGTGTTTTCTTAAATGTGTGTGTATTCGATATTTCTGAAGACTGTATTATTGTACCACAAGGAGCGTAACGATTCCACAAAAGGCGATCGTTCAAAGCAGGTAACAACAAAGAGCAAACTTAACTCAAAACCAAAACCAAACAACAACTGGACCAGCAAGCTCTGTTCTTGAACTAACTACAAATACATCAAAAACCAAGCAGCAAAATGCAAATCCGCACGCATGTTTGCCGGAACTGAACCTCCGTAGCGCAGCTGATCATTGCGGCTGCACGGGACGACCTTCCCGCCACAGTAAGTAGGGCAAAGAACTATGTATGGCACTAGCAATGAATGCATGCAGCACACCAGCAAGCTGTCCCTGCGCAGACGGCTAGTCTAGCGTGTGCAAGGATGAATAGCATGAGAACATGATATGACACATGACTCCTATGATGCATGCAATGTATACAACATACCCCCATCTTGAACAAACCAGGGGAGAGTGAAACTACACCAAAGGAAGACACTAGTATGTAGCACACAGCACATAGAGGAATAAGTGCCTAATGCTCTAGAAAGAAGCGAGAAAATGAGGTGACGAAAGTGTACTGTGTTACTAACTTACGTCTGTTCCATTAGTGTCTTACTGCAACTCATCCAAGTCGAGGGCTGACGACTGAGATACCGCAGTGGCTGCTTCAGTTGTCGGGATATCGAGCGGCACTAGGTATCGAACACCACGCCGATATTTCTTGCCGTTGACCTGGATGTCCACGACGCAAACAATGCTGTCCTAGCCAGGGAACGCGGCCTTCACGAGTCCTAGCGGCCATCTGTAGCGTGACAACGCATCGTCCATGACGAGGAAGACGTCTCCAATCTCGACCGTGCTCGATTGGCGGCGCCACTCAGTCATGATGTTCATAGCAGAGACCATTTCTCTTAGCCACCGCTTCCAAACATCTCTGAGGAGCTGCTGGATAACTTTCCAGCGATGGTATGGGTGAACTGGCGTCGACTCTGAGTTCGCCGCCGTCTCCAGAGCTGTTGCGACGTTGACATGACCCAGGACGAAGTGAAGTGGTGTGAGCGGCGTCAGGTCATCTGTATCAGCAGACATTACGGTTAGTGGACGCATGTTGAGCATGCCCTCAGCCTGTGTCACGCCAGTTTGCAGCTCCTCGTCGGTCAGGCTAGCCTTGTACAGGACTGACTGGAGTGCCTTTTTCAAGGCCCCGACCACCCTCTCAAATAATCCGCCGAAGTGCGGCCGAGCTCTTCCCCGCGGTGGTACAGGAGGTAGCGGCCATGGAGGTTTCCGTGGCGGCGGCAGAGGTGGCGGTGATCGCGGTGGATTAAACTGCCACCTGATGCCTTGCATCGCCAACCCAGCTGTGATTTTGGCTTGATCCAAATCCCTCAGCACTTCCCGCAGTTCACAATCGGTAGCAACGAAGTTAATGCCGTTGTCGGATAGGATCAGTGTTGGTCGACCTTGGCGATGGCACAACCTTGCCAAAGCCATCTCCATGCCCTCGACATCCAGAGAACGCACTACCTCCAGGTGGCACGCACGGGTCTGCAGGCATGAGAACGCGGCTATATGGTGCTTCTCTTGCGATCGTCTGCGTCCCATCTTGACCAGGAAAGGCCCAGCGTAGTCTACTCCAGTGTGAGCGAATGCCTGTAACGGTCCGCTTGTCCAGATGCTTGGGAAGTTCCCCATCTTGGGCTCAGCGGCACGTCTCCACAGCTTCTGGCAACGGACACAGCGGTGACGGTAGGATTTAACGACCTGGCGACCCTTGATGATCCAATACCGATCGGCCAGGTTAGAGAGCAGATGGTCTGTGCCTGCTCCGTGTTGACAGCGTTCATCCTCATGCCCAACAATTAGCTGAGTGACGCGATGATTGGCGGGCAGTATCACCGGGGACCGGAACTGGTCAGACAGGTGGTGTGAAGTCCGGAGCCGTCCACCAACTCGGAACAGCGGTGGGCCGTCAGTGTCCAGGAACGGCTGTAGCTTCGTTAGCGGTGCACTGGCTGGAAGAAGCTTCTTCTCCTTCAGCGTTGACACTACCTCTCCGTAGCACTGCCTCTGCGCATAGCTTATCCAGAGCCGCTCGGCGCCTTGGAGTTCTGTGACCGTCAATTCGGGAACCGAAACAGCCTTAGCACTCTTGAGAGATAATTGCACGGTAGCACCTGCGTTGCTGTCACACTGCTGAGGTCGGCCTCTGGTGTTATCAAGGAACCGTTTACACCAGGCTGTGACCCACAGAAGATAGCTCCAGGACGAGACGTTGTCTGGGTGCAGGCGGCACGTCGTCTGCTCTGCCTGGATCTGGCTAGTGAGAGTCATCGGGTGCGACCGCTGAAGCAGTGCCGGAAGAACCTGGGGCACTATGATGTCTTTGTTCGGCCATCGCTCCGGACGCTCTTGCAAGAACTCTGGGCCACTCCACTACTTGCCGTCATCCTGCAAGTGCGAGGCCGCAACTCCATGACTTGGTAGATCAGCCGGGTTCATTCGGCCGCTGACGTGCTCTTGCCTTCTGCTGCCGCTGCTGCTGCGCTCTTGCCTTCTGCTGCCGCTGCTGCTGCGCTCTTGCCTTCTGCTGCCGCTGCTGCTGCACTCTTGCCTTCTGCTGCCGCTGCTGCTGCGCTCTTGCCTTCTGCTGCCGCTGTGCTCACACGTTCTTCTGCCGCTGCTACTGGCACGGGACTCGGCTCTGTCGTAGATGTACGTCCATGACGCTCACTCAATCCACGCGCGATCCCGGCTGCATGTAGCGCTTCCATGGAAGCGGTTTCCTCTGCGATCAGGAGTTTTAGTTCCTCCGCTCGCCTATTCAATTTCGCTAAACTCAATTCGAGCTCCTCTTTATCTGACCTCTCAAACCCATATCGAGCCGAGTGCCAGCCTTTAGTCTTTCTTCCACTACGCCTCGGTCCGGAAGGCCGCAACTCACCCATCCTCGTGAGGTTATAAAATGAACCGCGACTAGATCCGGCTCGAAGGAACCTTATGTATTCGATATTTCTGAAGACTGTATTATTGTACCACAAGGAGCGTAACGATTCCACAAAAGGCGATCGTTCAAAGCAGGTAACAACAAAGAGCAAACTAAACTCAAAACCCAAACCAAACAACAACTGGACCAGCAAGCTCTTTCCTTGAACTAGCTACAAATACATCAAAAACCAAGCAGCAAAATGCAAATCCGCACGCATGTTTGCCGGAACTGAACCTCCGTAGCACACCTGATCATTGCGGCTGCACGGGACGACCTTCCTGCCACAGTGAGTAGGGCAAAGAACTATGTATGGAACTAGCAATGAATGCATGCAGCACACCAGCAAGCTGTGCCTACGCAGACGTCTAGTCTAGCGTGTGCAAGGATGAATAGCATGAGAAACATGGTATGACACATGACTCCTATGATGCATGCAATGTATACAACAGTGTGTGTGTATTCGACAATTCGGTACAACATAGCCAGCAATCGCATGTCATCTCGTACATTGAAAATCAACATAATTTTGCGAATCGACCTTTTTTTCAGGATCACTTTTCAACGAGGACGAAGCAAAGTCGGCCGAACGAAGCCTAGAGGAAGAAAATCACCCTCTCCACTTCACCATCACGATACTGACATAGATACGAGATGAAACAACTAAAAAATTCACAAGAAAACAGTACGACCATCATCGCGCTGACTTTGGTCTGACTTTCGTCTGAGAATTTCTATCACGATCAAAAATGTACGAGGAGCACTCAAAAATCAGCCACAGACGTACCTTTATCGCTCTCTACTCCTTTTTCAAGGCACAAAAGTCGACTCTCCACTTTCAAACCAGGAACCAGACATACCAGTGGTCCTTTTCAGCTGCTCCACGAGCGCAGGAAATGTTCACCAAGGGGCGCAGAGCAGCATCCATTCCAGAAAAATAGCTAAAATACGAGTGAGACTGCATGCCTGAGTACATGAGTACATGTATGAGTACATGCAGAAAATAGTCAATTTCAGCGTTTCTGCTCCAAACAGCAACTAGCTTCGACTAGAAACAAAGATTACACCAAAGGATCAAACAACAACCATTTTCTGCAGTTTTTTTGCAGATGGCTTCCTTGTCCTTGGCCCAGCACGCCAAAAATCACACCTCGGAGGAGTAAAAAAATTACAACTCTCAGATGTCCTTGATTGCTGGCCATGAGTCAAACGGCATCATTGCCCAATAATATGATAGTGATGGAAATTTAGCACAGAACTCTTGAGTATTAATAAAGAATGACTTGATTGGGCCATTGCTGTGTGAGAGTTACACGTGCGACATTCCAGTTCTCTTTTTTTCTTTTTCTTTTATTCCTTCGCTTCCTGTTTCCAGGCACTGCTGGATGAGAACAGCCAGGCAACAAAATGTCCTGCCATCTTGGTGTCTAGCTGGGAGAATTGTTTCCCTCAGTTCAATCCCCTAGACCACCCTGACCAATATCCTAATGCTAGTAAAGTGGCAGCGAACAAAACAACCAGGCCCTTCTGTCTGCCCTATGTTTCACCGATGTATAATTACAACTCAACTGCTCATCCAGAATGCAGCATCCACTTAAACATGCTACATGGTAAGTATCTTGATAGATATTGTCGATTGATCTGGGTACTAGACAAAGAGGAACATGTGACTTCGATAAGGCAGAAATTGGTGGACGATACATGTAACAAAGATGCAAAAACACTTCAAACTAGTTTTCGTACAACTCTCGTGAGGAAGAAACGTTGCAATGGAGAACACCAATGTGACAACGGGACTATTGTACTGAAGTAGTGAACTTCGAAAGTGAGAAATTAACAGCTTCAGCAACGCGTCAAGAACAACTAAGAAATAATAATATGAGCCGCAATCCGCGAAAACGACCCTCAGAGGTTTCGTAATTTTTCGAGAAAAAGGTCGATTTGTGACGTTCAACGATTTTTTTGATCGCGCTGTTTGCGAGTTCTTCTTGAACTCCTTGCTTGAAGTAATTTATTTTGAAGAAGTGGTGTCGAGTCGCGACTCGAGTGTTCCTCGATCGTGTTGCGATGGCTGCGGACGCCCGGCCAGAGCTGTTCGCAGAACACACACGGTAGTCATTGTGTACAGCTAGCTCGAGCCTGATGGGGAGTGTTTTTTCTTTTCTTTTTATTCTACAAAGAACACAAACCCGGCCCGAGACAAAAAATTAATAAGAACAAGAAAGATAACAAAGTTGCATGCAGGAAGAACGAAGAAACGACTAGAACACAGAAGTTGTGGGTTGACAGAGCAAACAACAACTAATGAGTTGGGGCTGACTACTAGTATCCACTGGCGCAGCTGTGTAGGTGGGGCGTTGTGGACTCCTCCGACCAGAGGTCTCGGTATCCTTGCACACAACGTGCACCAGGGGGGGGGGGGGGGTAAAAAAGAAAGAAATGAGAAAGAGTTAGGCCATCAGGTAGTATGCTAGTCTGTGGTGTACACGTCGACAGCAGTCCCACAAGTTTGCTCGAGGAGGTACTTGTACACTGCTACTTTGAAGCGTTGCAGCGCTGCCTTGGATGGGGGAGAGTTCAGGATGGCAGAGGGTAGAGCATTCCATGTTGTTAGTAGGCCGGACGGGAAGGAGTGGATGCTGAAGTAGCCGCTGAAGTTCAGAGTGAGGATGAGACGTTCTTTGTTTCTGACATCGATGTCGACAGTGCGGCGGAATCGCAGCCGCCATCTCCTGCTGCGATGCGGCTCAAGGTGGCCGATGACTTGTCAGAGTCGGAAGATAAGGAGTCATCACCTGAGATACATTCTGAGTCTGACGCTAGTGACGGCAGCGACGTCTTGTCTTCAGCTGTGGAGGAAGAAATGGAAGACGAGATTGCGGAACGACTCCACGCAGGCTGCAGCTGCGAATATGTCGATCATTTCTCCGCACTCATCAGCTATTCTTTGTCATTATAGCTGCTTACTGCACTAATACAAAGGTATTCAAGCTGCCCACCCACCTTAGAATGCTGAATATTCATTGTACACCTACATCGTAATACATGTACAACATTGCACCAATTTGGAGCACATCTTGTATATTGGTGTATACACCCGTTTTGAATCGTAATATGGAACTTTTTCTTGGCTAAGGTCCTTCAGTAGATGTGTTTCAACAAATTTCTAACCAAAAGGAATTTTGAAAATGTTGACCCTAAGGGCTGTTTTCGCTAGTTGAGGCCCAACATTATTATAACGCCTGGTGTGTGAACAAATTGCGCTATAGAATGAGGCCAAACACAGTACATGTACAACCAGCAAGCTACAGCGTGAACAAGAGCATGTGGCCATTACTGACCCGGCAAACATCACGCTACTACTTGAGAGATTTTGAATGAATAATACTGTCCTTCTGAACACACATATTTGGCCTATGGATGCATTGACACACAGCTTCTGACACCTGAAGCTGCAACTTGTAATCATGACAGGCACCGCACAGCACGGAAAAACTTGAATGCACCTTGTAACAATCAGGATTAGAAACAAGATGACTTACTTCCACAGAACACCCACCCACAATCACTTTGACGCACATTCTCACAATCGCTCTCACTCCACTCACTGCCAGAATCTCTGTTAGCGGCACTTTCTCTCTGCCGCCTCTCCTTCTCCACATCCATCCCGTCTATGTCTCTCACCTTCGTTTGCAAACTCCATTCACATCTTCTTTGGCTGCTGCGTCCCTTGCCGTTGAAATATGTCATAATTGTAGTGAGCTGTCATTCTTCTTGGTCTAGCCGCTCATGTTGTGGCAGGATCCCTTGCTGGTACTGATGAAGTAGGTGATATGATTGATGTTGTGATGTCTTATCCACCGCCTGTTTTTCACCATAGCCTGTATTTGGTTTGCCAGTGGCTGTTAGAGAAGATTCGGACCCTGCGACAAAACATTTGGTGGCAACAAATTCAGCCAAGCAGGCATGTGCAAGCTACGTGAAAGTAGCTTGCACATGCCTGCTTGTCTAAGAAGAGAATTACCTGGCCCATATACCCTTAGTTAATGGCTGCACAGTGCTTGCCAAATGGCTGTTCTGTGTCATCCACCTGAGTGTGGTGAAGATGCTCTTGACAACATGTGCTTAGTGTATGATGGATTTACTCTCTGTGTATTTGTCGCTGTTTATGCACGTAGGTGTTGATATCTTTCACCAAGATGATATTTGCTACAGCTCGTGTAACGACATGCATGTCATCAACAAGCCAGACATGTTCAGCACACGAGTAAAGACACAAGGCGCTTGGCTTGTGTTTAATTCCACCACCACGGCCTGCTATCGGAAGTTTCGCGGAAGGGTTTACTATTACCGCAAGAACTGCACCCGTGAGACCCTGACCAAACACATGATGCATAGGTGAGATAAATAATTATTAATACATGCGTATTGCATACCAAGAACCCTGGGTATGTTTGGATGAGCTGTAGCGAGTTTACAAGATGTATATTGATGTCTATGTGTTTTCAATGAATTCTTGCCTCCTCGTCGATTGTTCAAATTCAATTTTGATTCAAATATTCTTTTAAAATAGCAATGAAAAATATCAATTGTGCACTCATAATCATGTATAAACAATTAAAATGAAACAATTCCAGAACGTTTTCGTGTGACCATCATCAGTGGAACATCGTCACATAGTAAGAATCACTAAAACAACCAGTTATATAGCTAGAGTAACATGAAAAGAAGCGTGAGAATGCAGCACAGCTAGCGGTTATGCATAACGCGTGTAGTGTGAACCTTTGCAGTGTATCTGAGAATGGTAGCAGTAGATGAATGTGGCAGCTGTGAGTGCGTGTGAACAAAAACTGGTGAGTGCGTATTATTTAAAAAGTGTGAGTGCTACAACATTTTCTTTTTGCTTGCATAGAACAGGGTCACGTGTGCGAATATATACAGCTTCCAACACCTGCAACTGCTTAAAGAAACGCGCGCGACAAATAACACTAAACCAGGAATCGTCAAACAACTTACGACAATCCGGACTGGACACCAAATGCTTGTAGATGGCAGACTTGCTCTTGTCGATGTCGAACTCCTCCTCGTCCGTATCACTCTCATCCTCCACTTCCCGTTCCTGCTCACCCTTACTTTCCTCCTGACCATCCTGTTCATCCCCATCATCATCCTCCATCTCCATCTCCTCATGCCATCGCTTCTTTCTCCTTGACGTGTTCACTGCTGCGCCCGTACTTTCACCTGCCACTACTGGTTCCGCCTTCTCCATTTTTCTCAGTCGTGTCTCCGCTAGTCTCTGGCTTCTCCTCAGATTCGTTTTTCCTCCATTTTCATTTCGTTCTCCTGGTGATCTTTCCGTTACCGCCATCGGGTTTGTTAATGAACGGTCGTCCGGTGGTCTCCCATGCCGTGTTGTTGTCGTCAAGAGTGACACCAGATTCGTGTGTTGCGCTACTGTTGAGTCCGGTGTTGTATCCGTTTCTGGTTGTGTTGTAATACTGACAGGCGTAGTAGTAGGCAACGGGTGTTTTCTCGGCCTCCCACGCTTTGGCCTGCCTGCCCTGGCCGCTTTTGACAACAAGGACAATGGGACGTGTTGTTTGATACGTTCGGACAAGTGTTGAAGCGTCCTGCCAACATACCGACTACCGCACTGTCGGCATTCAAAATGATAAATGAGGTGACTCAAATGATGGGTCGGCAGGACGTCCTTCAACACCGTGAACGAACGTATCGTGGTGAAGACAGTTACTACATTCACTGCATAGTACGTCTTCTGGACAATAGACTTGACAATACGACTGACCTTTGTCGACTCCGCGCCTTTCCAAGGCAGGCACAGGAAGACACGACAAGGAGCCGGGCCGATTGTCAGTTCCTTACGGGGCGCATTGTTCGTGAGTAGTTTCGCTAATAGTGATCCTGGATATCCGTTCTTAAGAAAGACAGAGCGAAGGAAATCAAGTTCTGCTTGCAGTTTACTCTCGGAGCAAATGCGTCTTGCCCTGTCAGCTAAGTTTCGGACTAGATTGGTCTTGTATTGCGAAGAGCAATATGAATCGTACATAATATACTGACCAGTGAATGTAGGCTTACGATACACCGATGTCACACCACCCTCACATGTCTTTTCCACGAGTACATCTAAAAACGACAATTTGTTGCAATCCTCGTGTTCACATGTGAAGCGTAATGCAGGGTGGACATCATTCAACTCATCTAGAAAGGCTTCACTGTCACGTCTTGTTTCGAAATAGGTAAATGAGTCGTCCACAAATCGAACGTACAATAAGTTGTTTGACGATTCCTGGTTTAGTGTTATTTGTCGCGCGCGTTTCTTTAAGCAGTTGCAGGTGTTGGAAGCTGTATATATTCGCACACGTGACCCTGTTCTATGCAAGCAAAAAGAAAATGTTGTAGCACTCACACTTTTTAAATAATACGCACTCACCAGTTTTTGTTCACACGCACTCACAGCTGCCACATTCATCTACTGCTACCATTCTCAGATACACTGCAAAGGTTCACACTACACGCGTTATGCATAACCGCTAGCTGTGCTGCATTCTCACGCTTCTTTTCATGTTACTCTAGCTATATAACTGGTTGTTTTAGTGATTCTTACTATGTGACGATGTTCCACTGATGATGGTCACACGAAAACGTTCTGGAATTGTTTCATTTTAATTGTTTATACATGATTATGAGTGCACAATTGATATTTTTCATTGCTATTTTACGACTGTTGTCTCCTCGTCGGTTATTTAAATATTCTTTTAAAAAGGAATATTTGACTATCTGTCTGTTATCAACAGTTTTTTTGCAATTGGTGATCTCCTTTATACAGCTGTTACATTCTATCACCATGACAACAGGTGGATGCTTGTTCATTTTTTCTGTTTTAATTGCTGGTTAAAAGGGCGGCAGGCACATGACATGCCATGTATTTGTGGGTGGTCAGTACAGTCAAAGCTTTCTGATCACCCTAAGCTATTCTGTTTTCTGTTCGACCCTCTTTGAAGTTGTACATTGTACTGTTGAGGCAACGAACTAAAATGAATCAAAAAGAAAACAAAACAAAAGCGCACTCAGCTGTACGAAGTCATCTACATTGGTAGTATTCCTCTGTATGATCATCTGTATGGTCATCTCTTTAATCATATGTTTGCTATGCTCAAATACCGTACATACAATCATGACATAATCATTGTAGTGTGTACAGTGCTACTGTCGGTTGGCGAAGAACTGCGGGGGGGGGGGGGGGGGGAGGGGGGGGGGGGTCAGCCTCCTAGCCTAGACCGTTCTTATTTTCATGTATTACAGTCTATGCACAGTTCAGTCATCGTGTATACATTGGTATGCTGTGCTTGGTAAAATTCTAGTCTGAGCGTTTTCTGGTGCTCCACAGTACTGTAGTGAAGCTGAACTCGCCTCTATCTTGCAAAATGGAACATACACTTGCCCTTTTCTGCTGCAATCTATTTGTATTATGGCTGAAGCAGCCTGGGATTTGTGTGGCTAGCATGCAGTGGCAGCGGAGAAATGTCGTTTATCGGCGGTGCATTGAGAATTGCTTCCCTCCTCATTTCCTGACATGTGAACAGACTAGAGGATCAAGACCTGCCGTGGACGGACTGCGCGCTTTTTCGTCAGGTCCTCATGCATTTGCGGTACAAGTCATCGTTCGCACCTGTCTTACCTGGACTCAAGTTTGTGCTAGTGCCATGGGGTGGTACACGACATGGTTGGATGAGTTACATGGAGCAACACCTGAAGGCCAGAGCACGAGAGGATGACGGATTGCTCGAGGAACATGCACTGGCATCTTGCTTCTTCACGGTGAGTTTATCATCATTAGTCAGGACCGATATTCTAGATACTTGACTATAAGACTCAGACTCAAGACTCTACTGGAGCAGAACCCTATACTATACAATGGACAAGATGGGGCGGCTGAAGCAACTTACATGTACATATTGTAATATACTAATCCGTTGATCCCCGAGCTGCAGAGAGTGCTCAATGCCAGAGACAGAGCTTAGTACATGGCAGACTCAGCGGAGGACGTTCAGGTTGGCTGTAACTCTGAGTTTCATGCCGCTAGGCAATCGTCAGACAACTGATACTCGGATCTACCCAGCAGCATGCTTACTATATTATGTCCATTACAAGCGCAGCCTCTTGTAACTGTTAGATGCCCAGTCTCTATCATAAGCACACTCCAAGAGGGTTTCGAAGATATACAGGCGCAGTCTCCAATATAAGCGTATGGCTTATAATGGAGAACTGTATGGATCATGTCCATGCGTGTTTGACGTCCACAGTCACATGATCACATACACACATGTTATGGCGCAAGTCTGTGATCCCTGAGATAAAAATGTACAGACTCAGTGTACAAAACTGTCCGCAAAACTGCATTCACGGTACCTGGTGGGAAATTTTGTGCTACTGGTACTTCAAAGTGTAAGAAAATACTTGTACCGGATTGTTGAAAAATTATAAGCCCAGTCTCTAGACTCTAGTAGAAGCCCAGTCTCCAATGTAAGACCAGGGTCAGGATTGGTTGAAAAATATATAAACCCAGGGCTTATAATGGAGATAATACGGTATATACACATAGTGGAAGTGCCAGGAGGGAGGCGGGCAACAGGCAGGTGTGACCATAAAAGCGCGGACAGAGGCGATGGGGAGGCAGTGTGTACAGCAGATGGGTGGAGGTGCCAGGAGGATGGCGGGCAATGGGCCAGGGAGATCGCTAGGGGGTCTTTGGGTGACGGGCAGGCATGAGCAGAGTGGCATAGCCAACAACAGAGGATTGTGTTATTAATTGATATTGGGGTGCTCATGCAAAGTGCAGCACAGTACTTGGTCAGTACGACACTGAAGAAACTCCTGCTCAACAAGTGGTCTGAGATGATCTCGAAATGCAGGCATCAGAACAAGTTCTGCCTCGCAAATTTCACACCTATCAAATGAACAATTAATAACACAATCCCCTATTGTTGCCTATGCCACTCTGCTCATGCCTCCCCGTCGCCCAAAGACCCCCTAGCGATCTCACTGGCCCATTGTCCGCCATCCTCCTGGCACCCCCACCCATCTGCTGTACACTGCCTCCCCGGCATCGCCTCTGTCCGCACTTTCATGCTCACACCTGCCCGTTGCCCGCCACCCTCCTGGCACTTCCACTTGCCTGTTGCCTCTTCTACTGTCCTAGCGCCCTGACCCGTGCCATCTTTCTCCCCATACCTTACATCAGATTTAGCGCTCAATTTGTTTATGCCTGTGGCCCTATGTGTTTATCAGCACACTGCTGCGTAGATCTGAGTATCAGTTGTCTGATGAATGCCTAGCGGCATGAAACTCAGAGTTACAGCCAACCTGAACGTCCCCGCTGTGTCGGCTATGTACTGTAATGTCGCTGTTGATGCCCAATGCTGTAGACAGCAATCTGTTTCGGCCATAAAGGCCTCATCAGTACAGCTACGAGCTAAATAGGCCGATCTACCAGCCATGGTGCAAAGGAGGCACCACCGACAGTACGATAGCTCGTGGCTCTAGCACCAGAGTGCTCAAACTTCGAAAAGTAGCTGGCAATGCTTGATGCAGCAGCACTAGAGCAGCCTACCGAGGGTGCTCAACAAGACGAAAGCCGAGGAGTGCAATACCCAATGCTGTAGACAGCAAGCTGTTTCGGCCATAAAGGCCTCATCTGTACAGCTACGAGCTAAATAGGCCGAGTTACCAGCCATGGTGCAAAGGAGGCACCACAGATATTAACGAGACCTCGGTCCTACCGGTAGGACCATCATACAGAGGCATGCTGCACGGTCTCTGTTTTAAAAGGTAGCGTACACATGAAAAACTCGGAAAAATTGAAAGTTGTCCGATCAGGTCGAACGATAGCTCAAACGAAAGGTGTTGATCCGTAGAATACGCGTGTAAATTTTTTTGGATTAGGATCAACGAAACAGGAGATATGCGCGCTAGAAGATTGCAATTAAATTTGAAAATTTGAAAATTTGGAGTATGCATCAGTGACTTTTCGCAATCGGAAATCCACCAATTTCGCTGTTTCCTGTGATTCTAAGCCCTATTTTTTGGCAAATTCTGATAATACCATGCTTCCAGCATGTACTGGTGTCTGGTGATGGCATGGTCACGAGGTGTAGCCGCCTACACGTTCGCGTACGTACGCGACCAGCTGAGCTTGGGCAAAAAATATGTGTTTTTGTGAAATTAAAATTATTTGTGATTTACCTTGTCAAAGTTGCTCTTAGGAGCTGCTGGAGACGATGAGCAATGCAAAGCGACGTTCTAGAACATCCAAGAGAGTATTTCACGGCAATCAATTTGGTCGTGAAGGTAGTGCAAGTGCGCAGGTAGAGCAGGCCGTCGCGGATCATGAAGAAGAGGCGATCGCCACTGGAAGCAGCAGTTCTGAGAAATTGCCAAAATTTGAGTTTTTCGACTTGGAATGTGGACGTGGACAGCAGCTCCGAGTCAGAGAGCGATGCCGGTGATTCTGATCACCAAGAAACTGGCCCAGCAGGTCCGAAATAATCAATGAGAAAACATGTATGCTAAAATTGATGTTCCTAATCGATTTTCTTGAGACTATCATCAGGGAAAAATCGTCTCACAATAGAAGCTATGCGGAGAAACAAACTACTTATACGTCTATAGGATAGTGGGAAGTATACAAGGTGAGGTGAAAAAAAACTAAAGTGGGAGAGAAGACGAAAGAAAGAAGAAAAGATGTGAGAGTGTTCCAACGGTGTGAGCTACTACAACAGGTGAGTGAAATGAAAGCGTGGAAGCAGGTGAATGTGATAGAGTGAGGAACTGTGAGGTGTAGGTGTATGCGAATGAATACGTGTGTGAATGCTGGGTGAATAGTCTCATCAATTTTAGCATACATGTATTCTCATTGATCATTTCGTAATGTCCGCTTCGCTTATACTATTTATCGCCTTAATAAAGTTATTGTCTCCTCGTCGCCTATTCCACTTATATATTGTTGTTTATAGCTAGATTTCATTATTGAGACTTACTTCCCTGATGAATGTCTCTAGAAAACTTGTTAGGAAATTTTATTATCCATATTTTATTTAAACAAACGGCGAGGAGACAATAATTTGATAACCGCAATCAATAAGACATAGTCCGTGGGCCAAACCTGAAAAAGGCCTCCTAGAAAAATCTCGTTCCGACTTTTGGGCACCGCAATTTTATTGGCCTACGTCTACTCTAGATACCTTACTGACCAGGATTCCGGTTGTTGTCACTCTGACAACTTTCTGAAAGGTATCCAACGAGCGGCTTTTCCATGTTGAGAATTTCTCTCTCGGCGACCATTGTTTTGTATGCATTCATGTATGTACATGATGTAGACGTACATGTATGTAGGTAAGCGTAAGTGCATGCACTGCTGCATAGACCGATGTGCCGTGCAGTGCACGCATGCGGCATGGAGTGTAGCTTGCACATATCTCAGCCGTCCGATCCAGGTTTGAGAACTGATCGCGTGACACCGACACTGACAGGTCACCCAGTTTGTTGCAATGTTGACTCTGAGGCATCTCGCACGTCCTTCCATTTCTGGATTGTTTCTTGCTTTCCCTTTCTCTATTATTCCAAAGGATGCTGTGTAGCTCTGACATTGGTGTGCACTGGGCTACTGCCTGAACCTCTTGAGGTAATATTTAATTTGAAGTGAATCTTTGGAAGTCTGGTCAAGTAGCAATAAAGCGTCGTGATGAGGAGGGGGAGCCCTTCACCCAGATACTGATGTGGAAAAGTGCGTGAAATGGGAACAAATGAAGCTGTTGCTGTAGATAATTTTAGAAGCTGAGCGCAGGGAGCCTTGTGGAGGTGATGTTTGGCCTGGAAATGAACTGGGCTTTCGCGTCGCCCCCGCGCACGCTACATCTCTAACTGCTCCCGTCGTAACGTTAGCACGAAGAGCTGCACATTTGGGGAAAGGTGAAATGGCAGCAATCATACTGGAAGAACGCAGTCCGATCAACAACCGAATATGAATACATGCTTCTGCCAAGTTCTTACAAGCAGCAAATATGAGAAAAGACGAAATATCCAAGTTGCCATTGGCCAATCTCTCGTCTCATCATACGCAGTATAACTATTATCGCAATCTGTACGAGTGCTTCAACGCTGGAACTGTGTACTGCAAAATGCCTCAGTATGGGCTTGACTACTCGGAGGATGAAATCATCTTCGTTAGGCCGATACGACTATTGAATCTGAGTGCGTCTATGCAACGATGCATTGTAACTCATTTGTATGCACTTTCTTCACCTTTTCATCAACTCGCCAGCCATCACGACAAGGGGAGGAGGATATAGAGGAGGATTAAGTACTTACAATCGGCGATGCAACTCAGGCTACAGAGCCAGATGACAATGTCACACTAGTTCAAAGTTGCACCTCCAGATCTGCTCACTTGGGGAAGATTAAGTTATCATCGGTGCGGCTGTACTGCAGTACAGCCCCCGAAGCACATTACTCTTGCCGCAAGTGTTGCTTTGCATATGTTTCAAAGTTCAAAATTGTATACCAGTATCTTGGCCACGGTGCTGCATACATACAGGTTTAGAGCTCCAAACTGCGTTGGCTGGATGCCAAGCAAATAATCAGCAAACAACTGCAGTGTCTCTTCCCACTGGAGTCACGACCGGTGGTACCTACTACATTTTGTGGAATAACAATGATCTGTGCGAAGAAACATTGTTGGGAGAAGTCACAACCCTCTGTGCAAATGGCATACTTGTGCAGCCATCTCAACGCGCACATATTCACAACTCAGCAGTGTCTCCTGCAGCTGTGTCAGCCTTCATTCCATCAAGGCGAAAGCGCTCAACTGTTGTACAATGTACCTGCCAATGTCTTCCCAGTTTTTATCCTACTCTCGTGATCCGTTCCACCTGCTTTCCCTGCAACCAATTAAGAGGACCGGATTCACGGGCATAGCTGGTCCCCATTTTAGGGGGTGCATGGCCGCATTCAATGTTTGTGTAGGATGGCTGGTCCATGTCTTTCATGACCACAGTGTGCATACTGAACCAAGGTGGAACTTTTTAGGGGGGAGTGCACGTGCCCCCATGACCTATGCGAGCTACGCACCTGCATCCGCACACAATGTTCACCATCACTCTAAACTGCTTCATTTCATCTGGATGATGCCACACATTGGTGTTATGAAGGAGATGTCATAAGCCAGTGTTATGATGATGAAAGTCTGTCGCATTAATTAACAGCCACAACGGTCGGCATGGTCTTCTTGGATCACACGGTCTTTCAACTCTGGTCTGCCAGTGTATGTACTTTATTAGCACTACATGTATGTCCAGACTGTAATGTTGTGTTGTGGATCATTCTTTATGGTTTTTCTATCTGGTTTGCAGCGACTTGTACAGACGTTTAGTGCTTGTTTCTTTCTGTGGACAATCTGCAACCACTATAAAAATGCACAATGCGCCGGCATATTCTGAATATTCTGTACGTTGCATGGATCCGTCTGAGATATTATTAGATCGGACAAAGTGATCAGATGGCTGCTTCATGCTGCAGCCAGTCAAGTTCTGATGAAATAGCATGCGTCTCATGCTATTGACAGACTGTATTGCACTCGTACATGTAATGCATGTGCATGTAAATGTACATGTATGGTGCAGTTTGCTCAGTTTCGAGTTTTTCAAGTTCCATCATGTGTTTAGCCTTCCAGTGAGATCCAGGAAGGAAACATTCTGTGTATATGACCCTGTAGAAAAGTTATATTGCCAAAAAACAATTACAATTAGCCAGGAAGTCCATTTTAGGTTCCGTTTACCATAGCAACCAGCGCTGAATTTAGTTTTACTCCCAGTACAACCCTTGGACAAAATCAGGAATGACAACAAGTGGGTTTTCAATGTATGCCAGCCCATCTATCGACTGGACCAAAAAATTGCGGTGCCCTCTTCCTCGGAACGAAAATTCACATTTTTGACATTTGGCCCACAGACTAACAAGCTGAATCGACATTTGTGGATACTTTATTCATGCAATGTAAAATGGTGGAGACAATGTGCAATAAAACCATGAAAACATGAAGATAATTATAGTATAGAGAAAAATACGGATTCAAACAAGTTTTCGTACAACACTATTTCTTCATATTTTAATCGTTTTATTGCATATTGTCTCCACCATTACATTTTTACATTGCATGAATAAACAAATGTCGATTCAGCTTGTCTTATTGATTACGGTTATCATATTTCATTTTTGTTGATTACTACGTCCAATGTCCGCTTCGCTGATTCTGCTGATTGCCATAATAAAGGTATTGTCTCCGCGCCGCATATTCATTTCAAAACTAGAACCCAAATATGGATTTACTTCGAAGTAGATACAAACTGCACATGAAATGAATCCGTTTTTGCCTCTGCGCCACTTTTTGGCCATTATCCGAAAAGTGATGAAATGGATTTAGCGGCCGGGTTTTGCATCAGCTCTTCATTTCAAGATTGCATTTTCATTCGAATTTTGAGTCAACGGCGTATACCAGGTTTTGCATATATCTTTTCTTTTCTTTTGTTTTCTTATTGTCTTCAAACTCCAATGCAGCCACATACACATGTACTTGCATTCCACTAAAATTGATTTGAATCGCAGCAAAGAAACCACTACCGTAGAATCCCGCGGATAAGCCCGTGGGCTTATCTGTTTCACAAGGACATTTCGGTGGGCTTATACAAGAAATTGGGCTTATACGCTGACACCAACATTGTGCTAATGAAAAGTACCAAGGAAGTGAGAAGTACATTGCTGAAAGCCACTGTCACTGTGCAAACAAAAACAAACGATGATTGTGTTGAAATGTGCAAAAAACCCTACATGTACTATGTACATGCACATAGTACGACCAAGAGTCCATAATTTTTGGACTCTTGGTACGAATGAGGCCCATGGGCTTGTACGACGAAGCCTTGTGATGTTCGAACTTTCCCTGGGCGTATGCCCGAGCATTGGGCTTATACGCGGGTGGGCTCATCCGCGGGATTCTGCGGTATTGGAGTCGGGGAGTGAAGCTTCATAAATCTTTTGTTTTGTCAAAGCTTCGTCGAAGTCACTCGGATGGCTTTGCAGAGTGAATGCATTGGTAGTGAGTTCCTAGCCATGTTACATGTACTTTCATCACACGGTGAGAGTAAAATTGTATTGTAGCTCAAATAACTGTTACGTTAGGTCATAACGACAATGTGGGACCAACCCATGCGCCGTTCGAAATTTACTACTCTGCGAGCAAGCTGTGTCACCATGAATATTAGGGCTCCTCGGGGTATTGAAAACAGGGTAAGCAGCAGTATTCGGCCCTGCACAGTTTTTTTTTGGGGGGGGGGGGTTGGTTTGGTTGATTTTTGGCGTGGAGGTTGGTGAAAAAACTCCTCAGGGTAGCCCAGTTAATTCTGTTAATTTATATGGAGTAGTTTATGTGCTTTCGCCACTAAGGTGAAAAGGCATAGTGGTGGCCTGCGGAAGCGCAGGCTATAGTTTGTGTGTTTCTGAACATTCAAATGATGCTAACGCGGATCCCGCGAATATTATTATTACTATCATAGTTTATGTGGTTTGCTCACCCTCGTGTCGGCTGCAGAACATAACTTTCCCATTCAAATCGGATGAATCGCTGAGCGCTATTACCCTACATCCAGCATCTGGAGAGGAATTCTCCCTATCTGTGCAAGTTCTCGACGAGGTCATGAATATCCGAACAAAAGTCATTTCAATCAAGGCAGGTTTTGTTTGCTTTTGTCATGGGTTTGTCAGTTTCCATGGTGACAGCGCAAAGCTGATGCATGCTTTAAAACTGTTCACATGAAGAACAATTATCCAACTTTTAAATATGATTACCGAAACACTCACCCTTCTGCCAGCATCGATATATTGGGCTTTAAAGTCATACACGTGCATGTCCGTATCAGTCAGGCTGTAGTCATGACAGTGATTAGTATTGGATTTATTTGGATCGTGTTTTCTACGGATTTGTACACTTTAAAAGGTAGTTTACTTCGCAGCGTAGGGACACATCCGACGATAACGACTGGATTGGGCCCTCTCCGATCGGGGAGCCGTTTGTGGTTAGGCATTTCCCAAATCGGCCGGCCGAAAAATTGGCCGAAAATAGTGGTTTTGAAGAAATCACCGATCTTTTCGCTGAATGCGCAATTTTCACACTGATTTCGCCGTAAATCGATGTTTTAGTGCCTCAACAGCATGCAAATACAATTTCTGTAGCCATTATTTGCGAAAGGTGACTGCGACTTTTGACATTTCCGAAAACAGTCTGCATGAAAAGACGCCGAAATCAATTGCTGTCAAGAAATCGCCGATAATTGCACCGAATTTACAAATTTTGCGTTGAATTCGCCGAAAATGGATGTTATAGCGCCTCTACAACGTGCATGCAAACGTGCATCTATACTGTGAGAGGTGACTTCCAGTACCGCTTTGAGCCGAAATACGACTTTGGGCCTCATAATACGGCCGAATTTGGACATTCTCTTAGCCCACAGTCAATTGGGAACTTGTGGCCAGGCACAAGGGGTACATGGATGCAGCTAATGGGGTCGTTTTCGGCACTTGTGCCAATGGTTGTGAGACTTACCCACTCACCCCCACCGTTAGGCGCTGCATCTGCCGCTAGGGTTTATCGGGTGTTAGCGGCCGTCGTGAGTTCCCTTCGGGGACGGATACGATAATTTACTTTTTTTTAGCTGATCGAAAAGCCGATTAGGCGAAAAAATCGGGCCGATTTGGGAAATGCCTATTTCTGGTACACGCAAATCACATGTTCATGCCATACGAGGGGCCTGTCCGCCATATAGTTCTGAAGTACTGGTACTAAACTTCGCTCTGGTCAGAGAGGACCCAGTTTGTCCCAGAAGTTGTTATTTGTTGACTTCTAACATCGTCAGTTTTAAAAGTCCTATTGGTCTAGGTCAGCTTTGCCTATGAGAAAAGAGGTGCAATAGTTGCTCTTGAACCAGGCTTTTGAGAGCAGACTTGCGTCACATAATGGTGTTACCATGCCCTCGTACAATATAGTGTTTGTGCATGCTTGTGTCTGCCCGTGCTGTGTATTAACTTATTGATGCCAACTTCATTTGGTCTGTCCGTTCACTAGTGTTGTCTGCTTTCTTATGGTCAAAAGAAGAACCTACGAATACTGTGGTCCGTTTTGTTAAAGTCCTCATGCTGACCAGCTGGCCATTTAGTTTTGCTATCCAATAGACTAGTACAAAGGATTCTCCAATGGTTTAAAGCTCTTTGTAGCCGCAACACTCACGCTGTAAAGTGGTGAAACGAATATCAAAACCCAGTAGCCAAATATTCTATGGACTAACGAACGAACAAATGAATATTCTTTCGTTAACACGGATGACCTGACATGCCCTCCTCTCACCCATTTTATTGGAAATTGTCAATGATACTAGGCATGACAAACGGAGGAACATATTTCTCCATCATTTCTATGTCAATTTTCACAAAATCCCCATGCAACTGCAGTGCATTTCACAGGCTCAAAAAACCCACCTTGAAACGACGTGATTTTTCGTTCGAGCGCCGTAACTCCACTCCTGGACCTCAGATTGCGGTTGCTTCTAGACGAGAGCTGAGAGTTTGCTAATGCCGATAGACCTTTCGATGAAGCAATTCGGTCAAGTATTTGCGAAGTTACGAAGGTTTGAAGTCGCCCGGTAAACTCTGCATACCGGGCTAACGAATATTCGCCATGAGAAATATTCGTTCGAATGTGCCAAAACCGAACGAATATTCGAATATTCGGTATATTCGTTTACCACTAATTTATGATTATTAAAAATTAATACCGAAACATAGTGCCAATTGTAGAAATGAACAGTCTTGAATAGGGCGTATTACCTTTGATTTCAAGATGAATCATACTACCCAATTGGCTTGAACTAATAGGTATACACTGCAGGAGCCATTTTGCCAGACACCATTCTGGCGCGTGATGCATTGCTAACGTGCCATAGAAGATCAAATTTGGAAGCATGATATGACCCGCCTCAATTTTCAGTGCATATAGCAATGCGAGTGTGTACAGGCACGTGACTCAACAGGTTGATAGAAATTCCTGTGAAGTAGACTGAATTCAGCCAAATAAAAATGGATTGCCAATGCATTATGTATGGGATGCATTATTCTATACACCCAGCCTATATCCGTCTGGCATATGCTAGTTTCTTGTCCCGGCGTGCTTCTCCTTGCTGCAGGTTGTAGCGGACAAAGACGATGTACTGCTAGGCTACAATGGTATCCAGTACGGCCGTGGTGAGGAAGTGAGATTTTCTTCCGCGCATGCCATACGCAGTCTGAGCCTTCTTGGACTGACCAATTCCACTGGATACATCTTGGTGACCAAGATCGGAGCAATTGTAATGCGTATGCCAGAGAAGGGAATGCTGGCGCTGAAGATTCCATTCAAGATCAGAAGATGCCACTTGGGCTTTCGGGCTCCGAGTTTGGAAGAGGTAACTGAGTCCAGAGAGCTAGGCATATGCTGAGCTCCAGAGGCATAGAGCGCATCGATGAGGTTGAGATGACTTGTAAGCATTGACAGTTGACAGTTCAAAATGATACTCTTTCTAGGTTGAGCATGGAGGAGAAATCCCCTTTCAGCTAGCGCTCAATCCAGCAAATACCAAAGACAATGGATGCATGCGTGCTACAATCAATAGCGAAATATTACCAAGCGTTTGTTCTTTTACCTGACTTTGCTGCTGTGTCTGGCTTGTTTCAATAGGATGTGATAACCTACGTTACAAATTCCACAAGGGCGAGAAGCAAAGGCATCATTTCACGTTATCGCTACACGCGGCAGTCCGGGGCTGAGGTTGAACAGATACTATCCCCGTTGATGTGCCAATGTCCTGCCGATGCAAAGCCCGTGGACCCGGGTGTGCAATCCTGTAAGGAAGGAAAGAGCATCAACGTGAAGAGTGGGTATTGGGCAGGGCCTGCAAACCACCACACCATCCCTTTCCTGGAGCGACGAGCAACATTCAAGAACTACACTCTGGAAGAATTTGAGGTGGAAAAGCATGGTGACCCGTTTGGGTATTCGGACCAAGGGACTCCGTTTGGCACGGCAACCTGTGATAATGGACTGTGTAACAGCTCTAGGAAATGGACCATGGAGGAAGACCAGGATCCATGCAAGAGTGGTATGGACCGAAATGGGGTACTGTGCGGCGCTTGCTCCGTTGACACATACAACATAGTTGCATCCGAGGTTAGTGTTTGATGATCTAGTGTACCAGTATGAAGCCTACCAATGCCTGCCACATATATCATTTCTGCTGTCTTGGGCAATGATTCTGGACAAAACACTAGAACACATCAATGACTTTCGCCTCCACTGGAACAGCTAACAAAGAGATGATTTTGATGATGATTTTATTTGGATTTGCTGGCCGAAACCGGCACAGATACAGTGTATCAAATAAAAAAGGGCAGATGTGGTGAGGCACAGTGCCATGAACTTATGAAAAGAGAGAGAGAGAGAGAGAGAGAGAGAGATAGAGAGAGAGAGAGAGAGGGAGAGAGCAAGAGAGAGAGAGCAAGAGAGAGAGAGAGAGAGAGAGAGAGAGAGAGAGAGAGAGAGAGAGAGAGAGAGAGAGAGAGAGAGAGAGAGAGAGAGAGAGAGAGAGAGAGAGAGAGAGAGAGAGAGGGAGAGAGAGAGAGAGTGAGAGAGAGAGGGAGAAGGAGAGGGAGAAGGAGAGGGAGAGGGAGAGGGAGAGGGAGATTGAGAGGGAGATTGAGAGGGAGGGAGGGAGAGAGAGAGAGTGAGAGATGGGAAGAGAAGAAAGAGAAGAAAGAGAGATGAAAAGCTAGTTTAAGTTAAACAGATCTCCAGGCTGTGTTGTAAAGATAGAGGAGAAGCAAGGTAAAACAGGTCTTTCTGCTGTGCCTATTACTTTATCGCATGGAGAGTGCACCAATTCACACACTGCTGTGGAAGTTGGTATTAAAGCGGTACAGAAGATCTTGCACAAGGTTATATTGCTGTTGTTGTTTTTGTTGTTGCTGTTTCCATCGCCATCACCATTGCCGTTGCTTTCGCCGCCGTCGTCGTCGTCATGGTGGTGGTGGTTGTCATCATCATTGTCGAAACTGTTGTTGTTGCTGTTGCTGTTGCCATTGTCATTGTCGTTGTTGCCGTTGTTGTCCTCTCTTCTATGTAGGGATGTGCACTTATAATATTAAATAAAATAGGAACTGGGTTTTTAATTCTAGTTTACCATGATCTGTTGGTTTGATCGCAACATTCAGGAAAAGGCATTTCCCAAATCGGCCAGATTATTTCGCCCAATTCGGCTTTTCGATCGGCTAAGAGAATGTCCAATTTCAGCCTTACATATGTACGAGCCCCAAAGTCAGATTTCGGCTCAAAGCAGTACTTGAAGTCACCGCTCGCTGTACACATGTACATTCACATGCACACTCTAGAGGCATGAAAACATCGAATTTTGCCGAATGCAGTGCGAAATGTGTAAATTCGGGGCAATTATCGGCGATTTCTTGACAGCCATTGATTTCGGCGGCCTTTCCTGCGGACCGATTTCGGAAATGCCTAAAGTCTCAGTCACTTTTCGCAGTGTAACTAATGGTTGCAGAAATTGTATTTGCATGCTGTTGAAGCACCAGAACATCGATTTTCGGCGAATTCCATGTGAAAATAGCATATTCGGCGAAAAGATCGGCGACTTCTTCAAAACCACTGTTTTCGGCCAATTTTCCGGCCGGCCGATTTGGGAAAAGCCTATTCAGGAACTATAGCTTATCACAATTATACCTTTTCACCGCGTATACGCTACTTCCTTAGAGCTTCTGTGACTGTGTGTGATGCAGGCGTGTTCATCATGTGATGGGGCGACAACCATGCACGTAGCCTTGTACGTGTTCTTAATGTTCCTGGTGACCTTCGTCATATTCTGTCTACTTCTCCTGTTGAACGTAGGCTTGAATCCAACCATGGACAGCTGGTTGTTCTTCATGCAGGTATGGTCACAACTTCATGTGCCAATGAAACATGTCGTTTGGACAAAGAATGTACAAAACACCAGCTGCATCTTCACCACAGGTTACTGAATTCCGAATTATATCGGTTCGGCCAGTCTCTCAGACTCTGAGCTTTGCTCACGTGACGCAACAAGGTCGATGTAGCTAGCTTTTCCCTCAGATTGAGCATTGCGCTTCCTTGTCTCAGCATGGTTGAGCACCCTTTCTGTTTCGCGTCAAACGGTTGCCTGCCCATGTGCAAAACTCGCTGTGTTTCTTGCAGTTCGAGCACTCTGATTTTGATGCTTTGGGCCAGTTGCTTTGTTATTCACAAGACTGCAATTGGTTAAGCCAGTCACTCTTAGCTCCGCGGATGAGACCAAACAAGGTCTCAAAACAGGTAGTTGTCCGGAGATTGAAAATTCTTAATTTCCTCGCTTTCTTTTTTTGTCCCTGTTCCGCGCTCTCGTTCATCTGTATAGTCTTCTCCCCTTGATGTGTTTGCATCAGGTACCACTTGTATTGCGGAATATTCCAGAGAACTACATGTAGTATGAGTGTCTTCTTTGCCTACAAGACTAATGCTAAATCATAATGATTGTCGTATTATTTTGTTGCGTTTTCTGCAGGCAACATTTTATCTGTTTCCTGACGAGACCAACCTCAGTGATGCTTACCTGTCCTTCCTGTCACTCGGTCTCGGCAACATTTGTCTGACCCCGCCCATCACTCGCCTCGCAGCCAAGGCGTTGCTACTCGCACAGCCTCTGTTTCTCTACTTCTTCATCGTCCTGCTGTGGTTCTGCATAACCTTTCGCCTGTTTATTGTACACCTGCAGAAGCTACAGCGCCGTCAGGCTCTAGCCTATGTTGTTTGGTTCATTGTTGTGCTCTCTTCATCAAACATGGCCTATATTGCAGTCACGATTCTGACGTCGGTGAAGCTTTCCAATGGGAAGAGGGTGGTCCTCGTTGATGGTGCCGTGGCGTACTTTGATGACCAGCACAAACCATTCGGTGTCCTGGCCATCATTGTGCTGATTTGTTTTGTGCTGCCACCACCCGTGATTCTCACCGTGCCATATTTACGTGGCCTGCCAGTGTTCCGACGTTTTGTTGACGCGGCTCTGTCATCGTACGAAGATCACGTGCCCTGGTGGGCCGCGTACAACTTAGTGCGACGACTGCTCCTCGCTCTCCTCCAGGGTGCGGTGGTGGACGGGCAGTCAAGACGCGGCTTCATTGCTCTGGCCAGCATCATGCTTCTGACCATACACGGACTTGTTAGGTGGGTACGTGTGCATGACCAGAAATAGAGCGGAAGAGAGAATGTATGAAAGCGAGTGCCTGAATGGAAACAAAGAATGGACAAGAATGAAATAAAGCAGTAAACGAGAGAGCTTGGAAACTCAGGGCCCTACGCTATGCTTTTTTGCCTAGCGAGAGTCAACTTTCTCTTTGCAGTCGAGGGTAATACGACACCGTCTACCACCTTGATGACCTAGGCAAAAAAGCATAGGGAAGTTCTAAATTTTTCATTTCTCCCTTTTTTATTTCAAAACATAACCTGGGATTCGAACCCGCACTATCGCCCTGCATGCATTCTCCGATACACTTCGCATACATACTCATTATTCCAAGTTGCTTCACGTTATGATTTTGCATTTGAAAACCCTATTTGAATATTGTGGCCAGCTGTCTTTGATTATTGTGGCCAGCTGTCTTTGATGGTACGGAACGGGACAGGTATGGGATAGCGCCAGGTATGTCGATGCTGTCCTTGATGGTACGGTACGGGACAGGTACGGGATAGCGCCAGGCATAGCGATGCTGTCCTTGATGGTACGGTACGGGACAGGTACGGGATAGCGCCAGGCATGCCCATGGCACAAACAAACAAACACGGAATTAAAGCTGTGTGGACCGTGGCTAGCGCCAGACGTTACTGAAGTAACGTCTTTTGCATAGCTACGGGAATAAAAATAATAGTAAAGTGGACAAACTTTTATCACAAACATAGCAAACAAAGATGTGATCCAGAAAACGTTCTTTTACAAAACTTTGATTGCTATGTTTGTGAGAGAGGTGACACATTTGAGACCTGTATGATAGAAGCAGCTGTACGAAGGCATAATTCATGCCAATGTCTACAACGAAAACTCAGAGTTGTATTGCTGGAGTTGTGGATGAGTTTGAGTAGAGAGCGCACGTGGTGGAGTTAGTCAATGTCAACTTTGTTAACTATAATCGCTGCCATAGCTTATTCGGTCATACTCCAGTGCATGTGGGCTCCCAGTGGATAAATACCAAAAGTCTATTTGTCGAAAGAAGCCTTGAGGCTTCCTGCAGCTTCATAATAGAAAAGAGGATTGGGTGGACACACCCATTCCAGTCTCTATGCAAATCTGAACCAATTCCATTGTTAAACAACGTTTCGGCACATGGCCATCACCAGGTAACTGACCCCCCCCCCCCATGTGTCGCCTAGCCTTGAACGTTTCTGAGACATTGGAACCGTTGTCATCACTTGCAAAAGCTGGTGATTTCTATTTTGTTTTACGCGATTGTAATTACACCCGCTGCAGGCCCTTCAAACGCAAGACGAAGCTGTGGATTTTCTCGGACGTCGACAACAAGTTTGAGCTGATGCTGCTGATCGGATTCTGCTCCCTGTGCATCCTGCGTCTGTGGGCCGTCCACGAGGAAGTATTCCCCGGGCACTACACAGCCAGGCCGCAGGATACGTACATACCCATCTGTCTGACCATCACCGTGATCTCCTTGCTTCTCGCCATAACTCGCTTCCTGCTCAGCTGGCTTGCGACCTACAGGCAGACGCAGAGAAAGAAGTGAGTGTCTATCAGAGTTCGGGAAGCTTAGAGAGGAGTGAACATTGAGATGACACTCCTAAAAAGCGCCATGCTCTTGATATAAGCTAACCATGTTGCCTGCTCTTTGCTGAAGGCTATTTCACTATCTAGTACATGACAAGGAAAGGCTTCGCTCCCTACACCGGAGTTCGCGCTATTCCGCCGACTTGACTTGACACTTGACTGACTCTCAACTGCCATCCAGAGAACACGAGAAGTTCATCGAACCTTTGCCTTGGCAAACCTGCAAGAAAGCACCACTCCCTGCTCAATACATAGTGTTTCGGGGAATTCACCCCTCATCAGTTGAGCTTGAGTAGGTTAAGGAAGATTGTGCCTGAAGAGCACCACTTATATAGTGCTCTCCAGGCACAAACATCACCAGGGATACAAACTTTCAGAGACGCTCTGTTTCCAGCGCGACAAAAAACCTCATGACCACCAGATAGCAGCGTGAGTCAGTGAATTCCACGAAACACTGTGTATTGAGCAGGGAGTGATACTTTCTTGCCGGTTTGCCGAGTCGAAGGTTCGATGGACTTCTCGTGTTCTCTGGATGGCAGTTGTGAGTCAGTCAATTCAAGTCAAGTCGGCGGAATAGCGCGAGCTCCGGTGTGGGGAGCGAACCCTTTCTTACAAATCAGCGGCGAAGTCGCAACCACTATTTCGTATTTAATGCATGACAAGTCGAACAAAATGATGGGGATTTCAACTAGAAATGGGCCGATGCGAATCCGAGACTGAAAGGCTGTGCATGTCATCCTGGCTGGCGTAAGCATGTGCAATAAAATTGTGGATACAGGCTTCTTGGGACCATGTCGACATGTGGCATGCCCCTACAACAAGCAAAGCTAGTGAATTCCTGGTTTGTGAATTCCTTGTTTCAAGATCCATGAGAAAAGAATATCCTTTTAATTAACCAGTCAATATCTTTTAATTAAAAGAAAGTTTAAAGAAATGCAACACTTGAAATGTGGCTGTTGTTCATCAGTTCTGTTGATATCCGTGGGCTGTTGAGGGAATGATGTTGATAAAGTAATTCCACCTCCAACAAACACACTCTCTGGCCGACCTCACACGCCAGCAACATGACTCCAAGTTGTAGATACTGACAAAATAATAGTGTTTTCCTCCCTAGGGCGCTGTTTCCACCACTATCGGTCTCATTAGTGAAGATTGAGAATAATGAAAGACTAATTTGAAAACACCGTTTTATACATCGAATGTAATGCAGAGGCGTGATCCCGCGCTCAGAGGTAGCAGACGTACTATGTGCTCACACGCAGAGAAAAATGTGCAAAATGATAGTGCTACGCGCCACAAGTGTACTGCATAGCACTATATTGGACCTGTCACCCTTATTTTCAGTGCATGTACACTACATGATTGTATTTCAGAGTGCTAAAATCTGTTGCGCAAGTATCAATGATGTCTTTATTACGCTTGTGGCGCGTAGCAGTGTCCTTTTGCACCTTTTTCTCCGCGTGCTAGCACATAGCACGTCTGTTTCCTCTAACCGCGGGATCGCACTTTTTCATTTCACTCTATGTATAAAACCATGCTTTCGAATTAATTCTAACCATTCAATATTCTCAACCTTCACTGACGAGACAAGCTTCATGTATAGTGGTGGAAACAGCACAGTATGGAGGAAAACTCTTTTCAGTATCTACAACTTGCAGTCATGTCGCTGGTGTGTGAGGTCGGCCAGAGAGCACGTTTGTTGAAGGTGGAATTACTTTAGTGATGAACAGGCCGAAAGCAGCTACTTACTCTTTGAAAACAACCATGTTAATATCAAATATATCTAGAACAGGCAAACAGTGGGTACTTCTTCCAAACCATTTCTTTACTCCAAATATTCTGCTTTGTCCTGTAACTTGCTGACTGTAAGTGTGCAGTGTTAACCAGCCTTCATTACCACCCTCTCTCCTATTCGGTCACCATTGCTCTCCTCCTGTGTAGATTGACCGCTGCTGATTTCGAAGAGGATGAGGACGAGATGAAGCGGCACCTTGCCCGGCTGGGCAGCCATCCGTCGACGCCATATGACATTGGCTGTGTGAATGACAGTAGCGGTGTTGCCAACAGTGCAGCTTTGCCACGAAGCAATTCCAGCGAGCAGGTATGTAATTGTTTTGCGGAAGGAGTTGAAGAGTGAACAAGTGGTCAATGTCTGAAATGTGAAGTGTGGCGCAGAACCAAGTAAGGAAGCTGTAATGAACACATATTCTGGGTTGATACAAAGTGCTTAACTCCAACGGAAATGGGACATCCTCAACCGGCATACTGAAGGGCATACTGAAGGGCATACTGAAGGCATACTGAAGGGCATACTGAAGGCATACTGAAGGGCATACTGAAGGGCATACTGAAGGCATACTGAAGGGCATACTGAAGGCATACTGAAGGGCATACTGAAGGCATACTGAAGGGCATACCGAAGGGCATACTGAAGGGCATACTGAAGGGCTAAAATACTAAGAAAGAGCATGTACTTCAGATTCTTCAGCAAAATATTCTGAAAAGTTTCACAAGTAGACTGCTGTGCCTTCTCCTAGGGTGATGTACTGGCATAATAACAGAGGAACACGGTGATGTACTGGCATAATAACAGAGGAACAGGGTGATGTACTGGCATAATAACAGAGGAACAGGGTGATGTACTGGCATAATAACAGAGGAACAGGGTGATGTACTGGCATAATAACAGAGGAACAGGGTGATGTACTGGCATAATAACAGAGGAACAGGGTGATGTATTGGCATAATAACAGAGGAACAGGGTGATGTACTCGCATAATAACAGAGGAACAGGAACAATGAATGAAGTCGGTACTGGGCCCACTGCTATTTATTGTCTATGCCCGCGGCATAGCAGAAGAACTATCGCCGTTTAATGTGGGAGCAATCCAGTTTGCTGATGACATCTCTATACGATGTAGCAGGGAGTCTGCGGAAGCTGTTTCTGCACACCTTTCAGCTGCTGTTCAGCACCTGGCCACCTGGCTGAAGGGCCGTGGTTTAATTCTTAATGAAAGAAAGACACAGATATTGCCTATTCCCCCATCCCCATCTCAAGCACTTCAGCTGCATGTCATTTGTAATGGGCAGACGCTGCCTGTTGTGAAAACGGCCAAGTATCTTGGCCTACATTTCGACTCAGACATGGGCTGGAACACCATGACAAGCCATGTTGCACGCCGCGTTGCCGCTAAGATTGGGCTACTAAATCGAAGTGCAGCATGTTTGCCTTTTTCTTGCCGTGTTCAGTTTTTCAGGTCCTTTATACTATCAGAATTTGATTATGCATCTGCTGCCTATGCCCCTTTCTTATCGTCTTATCAGGATACGCGCCTAAATAGTTTGTTCAAACGTGCGGCTCGCTCGGTGTGCAGGGCAGCCCCTCGCACTCACACGGCTCCCTTACTTGAACGCATGAATGCCCATACCCTCAGCATATACACCCACATGCACATTCTTGTATTCATTTGGCGCTGCCTGAACAAATCTTCAAGTACTCTGTTTGCAAGCTTTTTCACCCGTAGTCCCTCTCTCCGAACACGAGGAGGGAGCAGCAAGTTACTCATCATTCCTGTCTCCCCCACTGCATCCTCAGCTAAGCGCATTAGCCATGCTGGAGCTATCCTGTGGAACCAGCTCCCAGACTCAGCATGCCTCGAAAGAAAGCGCTCCACTTTCAAATCGCTAAGCCTGGCCTTTCTGTTAGGCAGTACCGTCAACTAGGTTGAACTCATCTGCTTCACTACCTCTCTCTCTCTCCCTCTCTCTCTCTCTCTCTCTCTCTCTCTCTCTCTCTCTCTCTCTCTCTCTCTCTCTCTCTCTCTCTCTCTCCTCTCTCTCTCTCTCTCTCTCTCTCTCTCTCTCTCTCTCTCTCTCTCTCGCTCTCGCTCTCTCGCTCTCTCTCTCTCTCTCTCTTTCTCTCTCTCTCTCTCTCTCTCTCTCTCTCTCTCTCTCTCACTCACTCACTCCTTTCTTCCCGGTTGCCGTGCTTGTGACTTTTTTCCCCTGCTGCCGTGCTCATATTAGTTATCTAACTACAGCTGTATCTTCTTCTTGGTTCTGTTTGTCCGCTTATTATTATATATTTTTCTTTTCTCTTATTATCAGTGGGACCATTGTCATTAGGTTTAGGCCTGTTTTGGAACTCCACTTTAAATAAAGCCAAACAACAACAACAACAAAGTACAGCAAAGAGGCAATAAAATACGGCAAAGAAAAAACGCTACAGAGGGCATTCTCTTCTTCTTTTTTCCGTACTCACTAGGCCCAGCTGGATCGCTGTAACGTTCCATGTGGTCTTCGTGAGCCTCTGCTGTTGGATGCAGTGCTGAATCCGAATGGGAAGGACTGGTCGAACGAGAAAATATGAAGGCCCAGTGGTGTCTATGACCCAGTCGTACTAATTCCGTGTTCTTTGTGCTCTCTCTCTCTCTTTCTCTCTCTCTCCCCCTCTCTAACAATCTATATATTATCTCTCTGCGGATGAGTCGGTCTGTCACGCCAATTGTGAAATTTAGAAGTTTATATTCTAAATTATTTCTCATGCCTGTCTGTGAGTGAAGGATATGACTGTTGAAAAAACCTTTTTTTGGCAACGGGAGTGATGCTTTAGTTTTTTTCTTTGTGATTTGTGGCAAGTAGTTACGAACTGCTTGCAACTAACTTTTACTTGCCATACTTCCTGCTCCATGACATATTGGAACTCACGGACTATCCTTTGATGCCCATTTTTGTATTACCAGGAATACAGCTCTTTTGGCGGGTTCCGTGCACTATGATTCCGAAACAGGCGTGTAATGGATGAAAGCACACATCTGCTTTGCCAATACTTTCACCCATGCATTCCATAAAATATTCTCAAGCTGCATTTTCACCACTGAATCATCTTGGAAATGATTGTATCGACGATACATGTGCGTGTACATGCACGCTGTATCACCATCTCCCATGAAAGTGTTCAATCTCAACCCAGATATTTTTACTCGAGAACGCGCGCTTCCACCTGACGCATAGTTATGCCACTGATGTATCTGCCCTTAATGCGTCCTGCGCTACTCCCAGCAACGACCAGGAGTGATGCACGGTGATGGTGAAACTGAAGCCATTACTTCCTGACTCATTCCTATCAGCGGCAATGTGCAGCCTGTCAACGATCTGCTGCGGGGCACAATGCCAATGGTCGCCGCACAATGGATGCGGTGCAACTAACGGAAGTAAAACATGTAACACCTGAAGGGTACTCGAGGGCCTACACTGCGCTACAGTGGAGATTGGGACACTTCTGGAAGGGTGAACGCCGAGAAAAGATCCTAAAGAGGGTCTATCAACGTACTGACGTCATGGCATGAAGTGGCTCCAATCACGGATGATTGATTGGACAGTTGTTCTGTGCTGGGACTGGGAGAAGGTTTTGCCTGGCAAGTGATCAACGATCTTGTATGTGCTTATCATGACATGCCATCATGGATTCGAACAGCATTGTATTCAACACCTCCCCTAGCATAAGCCAAACAACAGCATGAATAGTCATAGTTTGTTCGGGTGGAATATGTAGCCAAATTGGTCTCGCTAGACAAAGCACGCAGGGTGCACAATTGGCGCGTCCTAAGTACGCCGTGTCGTGTCGGTATGCTAAACAATGCTTGAATGCCGCAGCTGAGACCTTGCAGAAAGAAGAATATTTTCCGAGAGCATACATACATGTAATCTGTTGCCCGGCGGTAAGCTGCTGCTATCCCCCCCCCCCTCCCCCTCCCCCCCCCCCCTCCTCCCCCCTCCCCGCCGTGACTGTGTATCCAGCACATGTAGTGTGCATTTTGCGCGTACATCATACATTGTACATGCACAATGTCTATGAAACCGTAGACAGGTGTAAGATCCTCAGGCTGTGTATTGTGCTTTAGCATTTTATGTCCATTGAATAGAGCCAGAAATACAGCAGTGGTGCTACGAAATCCTTCTTTGTCGTTACTCAGGGTTTCGTGTCTGAAAACATACAGTCATGTTACTCATGCCATGTACTACATTGTACATGTGCATGTACACAACGTGTCTGGGGTCCTTGCTGCTGCAAATACAAAATGTAGTGCTCAACGCCTCAAAATGGGCAGAGCGTACTACACAAAGGCAGAACAACAGGGACCAAGAATGTACAGTCATGTACATGTACAAAAGGCTATGGCTGGACTTCATTGACAAGTGTAGGTCGGTGTAAAAAATGGTGTGTACTTGTCATGTGCTAGAACCTGTATATGGTTTTTTTCGTATGCTATTCTTCCTGCAGCAATCTATTTCATGATGAAACAGTTGACAGATGCGTGGAACCCATTATTTGGGAGACATGCGACCTGTGTTATTATTACATGTACATGTACTAGTACTAGTCTTGTGTAAACCCTCCTTCTAGTCTGTCTCATTTTGCCCCGACATGTTTTGATGCATAGGATTATGACGCTCATCATTCGCTTCCTTCTCACTGGACAGTTCTGTCCGTTTGGTTTCAGCGAATTCAAATAAAGAAAACAACAACAACAACAACAACAACAACAACAACAACAACAACAACAACAACAACAACAACAACAACAACAACAACAACAACAACAACAACAACAACAACAACAACAACAACAACAACAACAACAGTACTCAGCTAGTTTGTCGCTACGCCTACGTACATGTACTCTGAGTGTCATGCTTATGCAATCATCGGACACCATACATGTAGCATGAGGATACTATTGGCCATGCGGGTCTTTACGTGTATGCCAGAATCTATGAAAATACACTATCCATGAAAACGTACTATATACTTATGTCATGTACATGTACATGTTTAATAATAGCTATGAAAAGTATGAATGCCGCAGACATCAGCACGCAACCTGACATTTTGTTCAAGGTTTGGTTTTGTGTGTTTCCAAAATCGATTTTCAAGCTCCGATCATCAGTGGAAATACGGAACTAACGTGATCAAGGGAAAAACAAAGGTTTTATTTTTATTTATTTATTTATTCACAATCACGTGGCACTAGCCAATGAAATGGTGATGTGGGCGATAGCCAGCCATGGCGGTAATACAGCTAGAGGGGGGAAAGAAAAAGAATGAAAGGGAAACTGAAAAGCAAAAGAAGCTAGGGCAGGGCTGGATATCAACTAGTATGTTGCATTCTGCAGTAGCTGTGTGAATGTATTGTAACATTGGCAGGATTTTAGATGTTGTGGGAGGAGAGACCAATGGCGGTAAGCAAGGAAGAGAGGAGATGTTTGCATAGAGGCAGACCGCGCAATAGGGAAGCGGAGAGAGTTTCTGGTGCGCATGTCTTGAGATTGAGCAAACCAGCTTAGGCAGGAGAGAGCATGAAGAGGAGCAATGCCCAGCTTAATTTTATGAATTGTCTGGCATGCCAAAAAACGCACGCGGACCGAGAGCGGCACAGCAGAAGCAAGGCGGTATAAGTCTGCGCTTGGAGTCAGGCGAGGAAGCCGAAATAATATTTTCAAAAGACGCCTATGCATAACTTCGAGTCGAGCAATCAGTGTTTTAGAAATGCCAGCCCAAATTATGCAGCAGTAATCAAAAATAGGCAGAATGTAAGATGTGTAGATAACATGGCGACAGTCGGTGTGCAGGTGGGTGATGTGTGATGAGAGAAATCCCATTACTGAGCTAACACGGCTGTCTAAATTTTCGATCTGGGATTTCCAGGTTAAGTGTTGGTCAATAATGACGCCAAGATGCTTGTGTTTTTCAACGATGCAGAGCGGGGTTGTGGTGCCTGGAAAGGTGAAGGGACTGGTTACTAATGAAGATAGGTCACAGGAACAACTGGGGGGGATACACATTACAGCAGTTTTCGAAGAGTTGGGTTGCAATTTCCATTTTTCCATCCAATGAATAACGCCATCTATGTTGGACTGTAACTTGGCACTAGCCTCGGGGAGAGTGGGTGCTGTCACAAGTAGTGCTGTATCATCAGCATATAGTGATGTGTGATCCATTTCTGCCAGATCGTTTACATACATAAGGAAGAGGAGAGGCCCCAGGATTGATCCCTGAGGAACTCCAGACCGTACATGCCCTTTGGCAGACAGAGCAGAGCCGACACGCACCCTTTGCTGTCTGCCCGTCAGGTAAGTACTGAGCCACGTGAAGCAAGTACCATGGATTCCATGGCGCGACAGCTTGTATAGGAGCCCGCGTGTCCATACGGTGTCGAAGGCCTTGCTTAGATCAAAGAAACATAGCATGCTGTAATGGCCGTTCTCACGAACAGAAGACATCGATTGAACAAGTCTGAGAAGCTGCCAGGACGTAGAGTCGCCTTTTCGGAATCCAGACTGGGACGGATGTAGAACAGGAGACAGGTAAGTGTATAAGTGGTTGTACATAATACGTTCACACAGCTTGGAGATTGTTGACAATAACGAGATCGGGCGGTAATTCGATGCATCGAGCTTACTTCCCTTGTTCTTAAAGACCGGAGTTACAATTGCGTGTTTCCAAATAGCAGGGAAAGCACCAGTTGCAAAAGTGAGGTTAAAGATGAGGCTGAGAGGGTATGCAATACTGGAACAAAATAGTTTCAGGAGTTCATGAGAAATACCGTCCGCTCCCGCAGCCTTTCGGGTCTTAAGGTTGCGGATTTGCTTTGCCACAGCAAAAGGCGTGGTGGTGACATCTTGCAACGTAGGTGTAGTTCTTCCACGTGATGGGGCGTCGGGTGGCTTGAAGTCTGGCACATTCCATGAAGGATCATCTTGTGTTCCAAAACCAATAAACTGTTCGTTCAAAGCATCTGCCACATCCACAGGGTCAGAATATAGAGTACCAGCGACTGAGAGCTGAGTTACAGTCGTTCTGCTGTTGCCTTGGGGAGATCGAAGCTTCCGGACAAACTGGAATAAACTTGGTGATGCGGGTCTTGCCGTGGATGCACTTAGGGATGAGATGTACAGTCGATGGGCAGTTCGAGACATATTGCGAGTAACGTTTCGCTCTCGTCTGTAAATAGCGAAGTTGTCAGCCGAGGGAAACTTTCGGTAAACACTATACGAATCTCGTTTTTTCTTTATTTGATGTCGGAGGGTACTGGTCAGCCAGGGGGGGTTCATATGGATACGCTTGACAGCCGGCGGCTTCTGCCTGGGCAGAAATCTTGCACAGATGTTATGGAAGATAGAGTAAAAGTTGTCCACAGATATGTCAGGATCGCGCCTCTCCAGGCTCAAAGCTGCTGGCCAATGTATGTGGGACATGGCAGTATTCATACTCACGACAGTGTTGCTGTCTAGAGAATCCAAAGAAAATACACTAAAATCAGGGACATCCAGGGGAGTCGAACGGGCATCACGAGAACGGTATGTGGGCATTTCTGGGCAGGGTACAGTACGGATGTGGCCAACCACGATAGAATGATCGGATTGACCAAGTGGTGCTGTAGCACGGAGGCAGGATATAGAGTCCTGTATATCAGTGACAACTAGGTCGAGAGCTGCCCCCATGCCAGACAATGACTCATGTGTCGGAAAATTTACGAGCTGCGTGAGAGAGAACATGCCGAATAGACTGTGAAGCTGGCGACCAGCGGCATCCGTGGTAGTTCCATGCCAATGACATGACTTAGCATTAAAGTCTCCCATCAACATGATAGATGTTGTTCGGTTCTTAAGAGTACTTAGACAGTGCTGGAGGGAATTGCAGAAGGTGTTGATACTTGAT